GGGAGAGGGAGGCGCGATTTCTAAAGTACGATCCAGACTGGGCACGCGCCAGACGAGCCAGCCTAACGCTGGTGGCTCGCGGCGCGCTGGTACCAACAAAAGCGCCCACCATCCATCCCCTGTCACCGCTCTGACTACTGACCGAGCAAAAAAGTACTCTACCCACAACGTCGGGCGGCTTGTCGGGGTCCGGAGAATTCGAGGGGGGAACGAGGAGGGGGGAATGGGCGGTCGGCGATGGAGTATGATGCGACAGGGCGTACGGGGTAGCCGTCACTTTCCCGCCTCGAAAGGGCGGGGCTGTCCCGGAAAGTGAGAAACGCCGGGCAGCGTGACGCATTACTGGACCCTCCCATACGTGTTTGGGCTCCTCCTTCGCTGTCCCATCTCCTCATCTCTTTCCCGCCTGGGCGGGGCAGCGGGTGGGCGCGCGGTGCGGCGTGGCGTGTGAGTGTGTGCGACTGCAACGACGGACCGCTCGCAAGGGACCATTGGGTTTGTACTATTAACAACGAAGGCGCTCTCAAAAAAAGTACTGCGAGCACTGAATGAGGTTAAAGGCCTCTCAACCGCACAACCAGCACAGGTGCTCATCGGAGCAGTTGGCAACCTCCGCGAGCGAATAGGCGTGGCAGGCTTTCGGAGCACACCAACAGCCCAGAATCTCTCCCCTAAGGTTCGCCCGCACCGCCCTGATCATCCCCCAGTCGGAGAGCAAGTCCGTGCGGAACCGCGCGACCGCCTCTTCCCGGCTCACCCCTCCCTCGATCTTGTGCCAATTCCCCCACCGCCCGTCGGCGCCTGCCACTGGGGCGGCACCGTGGGGGTATCGATTGAGTGAGAGTGTGAGTGGGTGATACGAAACCACGTCTCGACGCACTCATCAGACACACACAGATCACAGTCGTTTGTGCCGCGTCCCGTGCCCGCGAGTTCATTTTAATATAACAAGACCCTTTACGGACCCGCCCGATAGCTCCCTCGCAGATTTGTTCTAAGGGGCAGACACAAATAAAAAGAAAAACATCCGTCGCGCCCGGGCGAGCCCAGCTGAAGTTCTCGCTGTAGAAGAAGAGCACGCGCCGAGATGCGAGCCACCTCGTGAAAGGCGGATGCCACGTCAGCGGCAGCAGCGCGGTATGATGATCGCCATCCTAGCTGCCTTTGCCACATCAGCAGCAGCACAGACGTGCGAGGCACTCCGAACTGAGCAGAGGGCACTCGTCGAGGACGGCAGCGTCGAGGAGGCGCTGAATCTGTGCCATGCCGTGGTTGAAGTATGCCGCCAGGAATGGTGCGAGTACGCGGGTGAGGTGGACCTACAGGCGTTCTCCAACGGCGAGATGCGCGTGCGTTTGCACGAGGCGGTCTCCGCCGACATGGACGCCACCTTCCTCCCCTGCCGTGTCCGAGACCGTTGGAGCATCCCAACAGCGGACCGGTTGTGGGTGCACGGCTTCATTTTGGACGGCACCTTCATTGTAGTCAGTCACGGCGCGGCTGGAACAGGAACGCGGCTGATGTCCGTTTCGTCGTCAGCGGTTGCTGGCCGTCGCGTGCAGCAGGAGCCGACGTATACTCGCGGCCTCAAGAGCATGCTGGTGATTCCAGCCTGTCCCGCCGCCGGGTGCTCGTTTGACATTACCGGCTACGATGGCGACGTTGTCAAATATCTAAAGGCTGTCGTCGACTTGGCCAATGGCCATCTTTTTGACGCCTCGTGGGGGCTGCTGCAATTCGATGCGACAATCGTGCAGCCCGTCCTGCTCGCGGGGTACTCGCAGGCCGACTGCAGGAAGTGGGACACCAATCGCGACGGACCGCTGGGCTACAGCACCTTCCAGGCTGACCCGTCGGCGCTCGACATGCGGGCGTTTGCGCAAGTCGAGCAGGACTACGGCCTCGACTTCACAGACTACGACTTTTACGCTGTGGTGATGCCCTACTGCAGCGCGATAGGTTGGTCTGGCATCGGATGGGTAGGCCAGCCGGGCTTCGTGCTGAACCTACGGCGGGGGAGCTCTTCGAATCTCGATCCGGCCTTCGTTCACGAGCTGGGTCATAATCTCGGCCTCAATCACGGCGCCCGCTTCACCGGCGGGGCGCGTGGCCGAGAGATCGCAGAGACGACCTTTGCGGACAATGACTTCGAGCAAACGCCGGGGGGGTACTCCGAGTACGGGTCGGCAGTCACGGTGATGGGTCGCGGCCGCACTCCCGACGCGCACTACCTGCTGCCGGCGAAGCTCATCCTCGACTGGACACCGCCAGACTCGATCGTCGAGGTCAACCTGCCGGGAGCTTGCACGCCGTGCGGCCCCTACCTCCTTCAGCCGACCGACAGCGGCGTCCTCGGCCCGTCCCCGACGCTGGGACTGCGCATTGCGACCGAGATCTCGAGCCGGTACTTTTGGGTCGAGCAGCGCGAACTCCTCCCCGGCGGGCCTGCCATCGTCATAGCGTCCGCCTCCTTCTCATCCACCGCCGGTGGGGGCGGCATTGTGGGGCTGAGCACGATGGTGGACACGTTGCAAGGCTCGGCGAGCGGCGCGCAGCCCGCCGTAGGCCCTGGCAGCTCCGTCCAGCTGGACCTGAGCGCTGAGGGTGGCGCGTGGCCCCTCTCTGTGCAAGTTGGCAGCCGCTCGGCAGGCGGCTTGCTCGAGGTGACCCTCTCCTCTACCCCTCTGCCGCCGAGCCCTCCTCCGCCGCCGTGTCCTTTGGGATGCGGCTGTGGGTGCGCGGCCGGGCCCTGCGCAAAGCAGCTGAGCTTCAAGAACTCGAACTTCGAGCTGATTGAGGGCGAGGGAGGCTGCTGCAGCGGCCGATGTTCCTACTGTCGCCGCAGCGCCGGCTCTTGCGACCGCTACCTCCACTACTTCCCCGGCGACGTTTATGAGCACACACCCGCAAGCACCGCGCCCTGCTTCACCGGTGGACGCCACCCCACCTGATCTTCCCAGCGTGGCGCCCTCCCCTCCTCACGCCACGGCTGCGTTGCGCAACGCAGGAGGCCGCTACTCGTACTACCCCGGTCTCGGCGGAACGGTGGCTGAGCTGGAGGAGGCGGGTATGGTGTGTGCTGCAACGATCCCGGTGCCCGCCCCGTCGCCGCCCTCTCCGCCGCCCTCTCCGCCGCCCTCTCCGCCGCCCTCTCCGCCGCCCTCTCCGCCGCCCTCTCCGCCGCCCTCTCCGCCGCCCTCTCCGCCGTCCTCTCCGCCGTCCCCCTCCCCACAGCCACCACCGCAGCCGCCAACGCCATCGCCGCCGCCAGTGCCACCGCCGCCAGTGCCACCGCCGCCCGTGCCACCGCCGCAGTCGTTGCCAGCGCCCCCGCGACCTCCGTTGCCGCACCCAACGCGACCGGAGCTCTCCCCACCTCCAAGCGCTCCTCGGCCGTGGCCGCCGCCGCCGCACGTGCACTCTGCGCCGCTGCCGTCGCCTCCAACCTCACCAACACCTCCTTCGACACAGGACCCGGGGCTGCTGCCGTCGCCGCCTCCGCCTCCGCCCCCTACGTCGAGCTCGTCGCCACCTTCAACCTCGCCGTTCCCACCCCCCGCATCGTCGCCTCAGCCTCCTCCTCAACCTCCGCCTCCACCGCCGCCACCGCTTCGGTCGCCGCCGCCGCCGCCGCCAGCGCCGCCAGAGCCGTCACCGCCATCGCCACCGCTCTCGCCGCCGTCGCCGCCGCCGCCGCCGTCGCCTTCGAAGCCGTCGCCGTCGCCTCCAGCGCTGTCGCCGCCCCCCTCCCTCTTCCCGCCGCCATGGATCGTGACGCTCTTGTTCCGGCTCGCGGGTCGCATCTCCGACTTCGCGCCTCCGCAGCGGGAGGCGATCCGCCGCGCCATCGCTGAGAAGGCCGGCGTGGACGCCGCCGCCGTCTCCTTCGCCCTTGGGGGCGGCGCCGAGCGCGAAGGAGCCGCGGAGGTGACGGCGGCGGTGAGCGTCGATGTTGTCGACGAGGCTGCAGCGGAACGCGTGCGTGAGGCCCTCTCCGACATCGCCACCAGCCCAGCGGCGCTGCAGTCCTTTCTCGAAAACGCGATGGGGGAGGCAGCGGGCGTCCTCGGGACGCCGACTCTCGCTGCCAGCCCGCAGGCTCCTCAGGCGGTTGAGGACGAGGCGGCAACCTCTGACCGAATCGTGCTCTTGGTGGTGGCCAGTCTCAGTGCGGCCCTAGCTTGCCTCCTCGGCATCAGCTGCATCTTCTGTGTCCTCCGCCGCCGGCAACTCGACGCACAGGCAAACGCGGCGATCGGCCCGAAGGGTGGCGTCGCAGCCTCCACGGTGGTCAAGGGCGGGCAAGAGTACAACCACAACATCTGAGGCGCGACGTACGCGGCGCAGGCTCTATATAAGGAAGAGGGAGAGCTACACACGGAGATCTTTCCAGTTTGAGTAGGACGAGCAGCTAAGGACGAGTGTCGATTGAGTGGAACTTCGCCGCTCGCCCCGGGCTCTGCGTGTGGCACGACGCCTGCGCGGGTGTCAGTGGAGTTGCCTGATAAAGTAGTTCATTAAGCGTAAGTTCAGTAATTCACGAGCGTCTTGAAGTTGATAATCGCTGATATCTTTTCAGAGGACAGCACACACACCGCGCCGCGGCGCGCGCACGCCCGAGAGTGCACACGAGACACCGACGTGCGCGCGCGCCGGCGCATGCTCTCTCTCTCTCTCTCTCTCTCTCTCTCTCTCTCTCTCTCTCTCTCTCTCTCTCTCTCTCTCTCTCTGTGTGTGTGTGTGTGTGTGTGTGTGTGTGTGTGTGTGTGCGTGTGTGTGTGTGTGTGTGTGTGTGTGTGTGTGCGGTGTGTGAATCTCTGTGTGTGAGAGAGAGAGTGAGTGTGTGCGTGCGTGTATGTGTGAGTGTGTGTGTAGGACAGCTTCTTATTAAAAAAGCTAAAAAGGAAGAACTGCCGTTGCACGCATTGGACGCCGTGTCTCCAAGTGCCATCCCTCCCTTGCAAAAATCTCTTCCATCCCGGATGCGCCTCTCGCCACTCTCGGATACCTTGGCGAACAGGCGCGTGGGCGACGCGGCTACACAGAGCCTTGCACCCTTTCGCCCTTCTCATCACTGCCCCGGCGCCCACACCTCGATCTTCTGGGGCAGCAGCTGGTTCGACAGGTCCTCTCCGTGGCCTAGGCAGCCGGTGCCACCCTGACCCCAGGTAAAGACGGCGCCGTCGGCGGTGAGGGCGAGGCTGTGGCCCTGGCCAGCCGACACAGCGATGACGCGCTGGCCAGCAAAGGCCTCGATCTTCTTGGGCAGCAGCTGGTCCTGCTCGTCGCCGTGGCCCAGCTTGCCTTGGCCTCCACGGCCCCAGCTCCAGACAGCTCCGTCGGCGGTGAGGGCGATGCTGTGGTCGGGTCCAGCCGACACAGCGATGACGCGCTCACCAGCCAAGGCCTCGATCTTCTTGGGCAGCAGCTGCTGCTGCAGGTCGCCGTGGCCCAGCCGGCCCCCGCCTCCATAGCCCCAGCTCCAGACAGCTCCGTCGGCGGTGAGGGCGATGCTGTGGTGCAGTCCTGCCGACACAGCGACGACGCGCTGGCCAGCTAAGGCCTCGACCTGCTTGGGCAGCAGCTGGTTCTGCTGGTCGCCGTGGCCCAACCGGCCAAAGCCTCCATAGCCCCAGCTCCAGACGCTGCCGTCGGCGGTGATCGCGAGGCTGTGCGCGGCTCCAGCCGACACAGCGACGACGCGCTGCCCAGCGAAGGCCGCGACCTCCTTGGGCAGCAGCTGGTTCTGCCGGTCGCCGTGGCCCAACTGGCCGTAGCCTCCAACGCCCCAGGTCCAGACAGTGCTGTCGGCGGTAAGGGCGAGGCTATGCGCAGCTCCCGCCGACACAGCGACGACGTGCTGACCAGCAAAGGCCTCGACCTTCTTGGGCAGCAGCTGGCTCTGCTCGTCGCCGTGGCCCAACTTGCCCTCGCCCCAGCTCCAGACACTGCCGTCGGCGGTGAGGGCGAGGCTATGCGCAGCTCCCGCCGACACACTCACGGCACGCTCGCCACCCAGCGCCGACGAGAGGCGGGTCGGCGTGTTGAGCCGCCTCACGCCCTCGCCGTGGCCAAGCAGTCCGGGGATTGGCCTGTCCCAAGGTGGCCTGTAATTGCCGCACGACGAGAGCCGCCCCTCGCCGTCAATGAAAAGGCTGTGCTGCCAGCCTGCCGCCGCCCTCGCCGGCGGGTTGGACTCGCGCAGCAAGGCATAGAAGCACAGCCACCGCACGGCGCAGCCCTCGCCCTCTGGCTGCGCCGGCAGCTCGAAGCCGCGCTCTTGCGCCCACAAGCGGATGGCCTCCACCGCAAGCGAGGCGTGGAAGAGCAGCGAGACGGCCGCGACGCGAGCGATGTCGGCGGGGCTGTAGCAGTGAGAGAGGGCGCGCTCGAGGAGCTCCGTGGGGAGGTCGAGGAGGCGGGTGGGCGGCGGCGTGTCTGGCGAGGGATCGGCTGCGGTGTCGGCGGCGGCGCTGTGGCGAGGCGGCGGGAGCGGCGCGGTGTCGGACATCGTAAAAAGAAGAATTTTCGATGTGGCGGCCCGCTCGGTGGGCTGTGACGGCTGTCTGTTTACAGGCGCCGTCCGCTGGGCACGCTGGGCGGCGCGCGTCCACACTGCGTCGGCAAAACGCGACGCAGGAGCTCGCTCGCTGCTGCTGCGGCGGCGGCAGCGACGGCGACTGCCGGCTGCCGGCTCCCGGCCGCCGGCTGCCGGCTGCCGGCGGCCGGCTGCTGCCGGCTTAGCGCTGACGGCTGCGGCGAACGGCGACGGCTCGACTGGCGCTCGCTCCGCGAGGGTGCGACTGAGCCTCCCGCGCTCGATCTGGGAGCCACTCGGCGCCAGTTCGAGCGGCGGTCGGCTCGGCCACTGCGGGTGCGACGCATGATAGAGCATGCTGGGCGCTGCGTCATGTACTTACCGCTCCACGCCAAGGCGCGGGGCGGCGGTGCTCGCCGGCGCTCGCGGCGCTTCGGTGCTCGGGCGCGCTCGCCATTGTGGTCGTTCAGGGCGGGTCGCACAGCACACGCACACGCGCACACACACACACACACACACACACACACACACACACACACACACACACACACACATGCATGCACAGACACACAGCCCATTCCCCTTCCCCCGCAAGACATCAAGGACGAGGACACGACACAGGACGCACCTCTAGTGAGGCCCGCATAGTAATGTGGGTGACTCCTGCCGCCGCCCCTGCCACCCCTGTGTCAGTGTGCCTGTGGTAGTGAGAGACTGCCAGCGGGAAGCTGGAGGCAGGTCACTAGACTGAGATGAGACCGCCAGTGGAGTTGGGAGCCCACCGTGCACCGCGCTGCGAGCCTGTCTGTCTTGTCGTGCGTGTCCCTTGTAGGAGCAGGAGAGGAGGAGAGCCCCACCTGTGCCCCTGTGATCGTCCTTCCAAAATCCTGGCTCGTGCAGGTGGGGTCTGGGGACGACCCTGTCCTCCTCCCCCATCCCTCGTCTGGGTTTGTCTGTTTTCTTTCTTTCTTTCTGCGCTTCTTAGCTCCCCGGCCCTGGATGTGAGGCTACCGACTGCACTCCAAGTGCTCCAAGTGCTCCAGAAGGCGCCAGCGAGCGCTGCACCGCCCCCCACCGCCCGCGTTCCTGCAGCGTTCTTTTCTGCGAGGGAGCTGCGTTGTAAAATTCTTTTCTGCGCCTTGTCTCTGCGTGAGTGAATGCGAGGCTGGACTCAATGCGATTGCGGCGCGGCTGCGTCGCTACCTCTGCGATTCTGACCCGGGCGCTTACCCCATCGACTTCTTCCTATCGAGGCCGGAGGGCTTCGGCGCGCGCGGGGCGGCCGCGGAGGCGGCGTTTAGGCGGCTCTCGGTCGAGGAGCGCGACGAGGTGGTCGCGGCGCTCGCGGCGGAGTTCAAGGCGGGGGAGCGGGAGGGATTGCGTTGCTGGGACGCTGGGCGCGGTTCTGTTTGCGGTGTCCCATTCCCGGGGTGGGAGGATTGGGTGAGGGAGGGACGGGTGCTCCTCTTTGAGGGGGACCTGGAGGAGTTGCGGAGCGGCCCGGCCCGCGGCGCTGGCGGGGGGGGCAGGAAGTCCCGCGACGGGCGCCGGCGGGGGGCGCGGCGGGAGCGACGGGGGGGGAGGGGATGGAGTCGGAGGATGATGGGGATGGTCCTCTCGGCGAGCACCACGGTGCTCGCGGATTCGACCATCCGCCTGACTACCATTCCGACGACGCCTTCTGTGAGGAGGACGGCATCTGTGAGGGCGACGGCTTCTAAGCCGTCGCCTTTGCAGTGCCAGTCCCGTACCCGGTGTCGTGCAGGGAGCACTTGGAGCACTTGGAGTGCAGTTGGCAGCCTCACATCCAGGGCCGGGGAGCTAAGAAGCGCACCCAGCGGGCCGGATGATCGTGATACAGGTGCAAAATTCTTTTGCGCTTCCGGAGCCGGACTTCGGCGCGAATGCCCCGGAGCGCACGGGACGACGTCGAGTGCCTCGCCTCGCACTTTGTGGTCTGCGGCCTCGCGCCCGGGCTGCTCGAGCCGAACAGCAGCGACGGCGGCCGCGCCAGCTCCTCGGCCGGCCAGGTCATCACAGGCGTCGTCGCGCTCGAAAGGGGAGGCGCCGTCCCGCTCGGGTACGAGCTGGTGCTGACGGCGGGCGGCGGCGCGCGAACGGCACCACCCATCGGCTCCGTCGCCACCGTCGGCGGCCTGCACGCCGCGCAGCTCCACATCGCCGTCCGGCGGCAGCCTCTCTCCTCCTGCGGCGGACCCGGCTCGAGCACGGCGCCGGTGACCTGCCTGCACGTGCTGTACGCGGACCGCGCCGAGCGGCCGAGCGGCGGGCAGGAGGCGGTGCTGCGCCGCTCCGCCTCCGGCGCCGGCGCCGCCGAGCCGGCCTCCTTTAGCGGCGGCGCCCGCGGGCGCGAGGCGCTGCTCTGCGCGAGCCGCGACGTGTCTGGCGAGGCGACGCCGCTGGTGGACGTGGTTGTGGTGCACCGGGACAGGCACACGCGCGAGGTGCACCTGCCCGCCGAGTACGAGCTGCTGCCGCGCTCGCTCACCGCCGGCTCCGTCGGCGCCGCCGTCTTCCTCGCCTTTCGCCGCGCCGCCCCTCTAGGCCTTCTCAACACGCCCCTCCGGCCTTCGCTCCTCGACCACCTCGCCGCGTCGCACCGCCCGCGCGGCTCGTCGAGATCGCTGTTCTCCCGCGGCAGCGCCGCCTCGGCCGCCTCCGCCTCCGCCTCCGCCGCCTCCGCCGCCGCCGAAGCCTCTTCCTCCGACCCGCCCGCCGACGGCCCAAGCTTCGACGAGCTTCCAAACGCGCTCCCGCACTTTTGCTTGCCGCGTGGCGCGAGGCTGCGCGAGGGCGGCGGCTGGCCGACCGCACACGAGTTCGCGCTCACCGACTCTTCTGGGCGGCGCATGTTTGCCGTCTGCCTCACGGTCTGGGAGCCGCTCGGTGGCGACCTCGTCCTCTACCCAGACGGCGTGGCAGAGCAAGGCGCCGCCGCCCCGTCCTTCGCGCCGCCGCAGCCGTGCAGCCCGCCCGAGGCAGCGGCGCGGAGCACGCCCATCGGCACCGCCCTCGAGGCGATCGACAGGCCGACGGCAGGCGCCGGCGCGCGGCCCGGCGGCCCGCGCCCGCCCGCCGTCTCGACGGCCGACGCGGCGGGCGCGGGCGGCTGCTGGTCCCGGAGACGGGACGGCAGCGCGCCGCCGCGGCTAGCGGTAGGTGCGTCGCCCGACGCGGCGCCGCCCAAGGCCGCGCTCGAGGCTGCGCCGACGCACGCCGGCGCGACCGGCGGGACCGGCGGCGGCGGCGGCGGCGGCGGCGGCGGCGGCGGCGGCGGCGGCGGCGGCGGCGGCGGCGGCGGCGGCGGCGGCGGCGGCGGCGGCGGCGGCGGCGGGTGCGGGTCTGTGCGCGTGGCGGACGCCGCAGAGCACCAGATCGACGCCGCACTACTCAGCGCGTTCGGGTCGGGAGGCGCTGTGCTGTGGAGGCCGTCGGAGGGCGGCGGCGGCGGCGGCGGCGGCGGCGGGGTCGCGCTTCCGCCCGCGGCGGGCAAGGCTGCCCCGGCGGCGGTGCGGTGCGGCTCTGCGCTCGGCGAGAAACAGCTGCACGCGCCGACTTGCTTGTGCGTCCTCTCCCCGGCGCCCTTCTTCCGCGCGCTGCGCAAGTGGGTCTGCATGCTGTACCGCCACTCGCTCACTGCGAGCAGCGAGCCGGTCGAGGCGCTCGTGTCGTCCCTGCTGTGGGAGGCGCCCATGCCCGCGCCGGGCCACATCTCCGTCCAGCTCGGCCTCGGGGGCGAGCAGATGACGTTCGAGCGGCCAGACCTCTCCCGCGAGCTCCCCGAGCCGCCGCTGCCGCTGGGCGCCCTCCTGCACGCCCTCGAGCCGAGGCAGGTCCTCTCCCTCTTCCGGGGCGCTCTCTTCGAGCACCGCGTCCTCTTCGTCGCCTCCAACCTCTCGCAGCTCACCGCCGCCGCCGAGGCACTCCTCTCGCTGCTGTGGCCGCTGCGGTGGCAGGGCATCTACATCCCGCTGCTGCCAGGCTTGCTCGTGGAGGTGCTACAGTCGCCCGTCCCTTTCGTCATCGGCATCCACGCCTCCACCTTCGCCTCGGCCTGCCGCGCGCTGCCGCCGGTGCTGCCGCCCGATGCCTTCGTCGCAAACTTGGACGAGGGCACGCTCCTCGTCCCGCCGCTCGACGAGCAGCTGCCGCCGCTCCCGCACTCCACCGTGCTGCTCGCGGCGCTGGAGACCTTCCGCTCGCGCCCCGACGAGCAGTACACGGCGCCGCGTCCGCAAAGCCGCGCGGGCGGCGGCGGGAGCGGCGCAGGCGGCGGCGGCGGAGGCGGAGGCGGCGGCGGATGCGCTGGTGGTGGTAGCGGCGGCGGCGGCGGCGGCGGCGGCGGCGGCGGCGGCGACAATGGGGCCGGCGGGAGCGGCGGCCTCTCCCTTACCAGCTGCATTCCGGCGGAGCTGCTCGCGCCGGACGCCGCCTTCCCGGTGCGGAGTGAGGACGCGGAGGGGAGCGACGCGGTCGCGGTCGCGCAGCGCGCGGTCGTGCGGCAGACCTTCGCCTCTTTCTTTGCGCACTGCCTGCGCGGCTACCAAGAGGCGCTCGTCCTACGGCCGCCCTCGAGCGCGCGCGGGCTTCGCAGGCTGATCGACGTCCCTTCGCTCGTCGCGGGGCGGAGCGCCGCCGAGGCTGCGCTGCTGCGTCGGCTTGCCGAGACGCAGTCGTTCACTTCGCTCATCGAGCAGCGAACCTCCCTCTCGTCGCGCAACGGCGAGCTGCTCCTCTTCGACCACCTGGCGGACCGCTGCCTCTCCGCGCCGCCGACGGCGCGCGACCTGTCCACTCTGCCGGCGCTGCCGCCGCCGCCGCCGCGCAGCCGCGTCTACCAGGTGCCGCCGCCGTACTCGCTCGGCGGCGGCGCCACTTGCGGCCCCCACGAGCGGTGGCCGCGGCTGCGGCGGGAGGCGCTTCGCGCGCCGCGCCCCATCCCGCCCTTTAATTTTGCCGCCGCGCCCATCGAGCCGCGCCGCGCGTCCTGCGGCGGGGGGCGGCCTTCGCCGGCCGCCGGCGCGACGGCGCCGCGCTCCGCCGTGCCGCCGCGCCGCGCCACGGGCGACAAGGCGCCGCAGGTGGCCACGCCCGCCCCCACGCTGCTGCGGAGGCGAGACGCACGCGGCTGCCCGGAGCCTGCTCCGGCTGTGAACGGCGCCGCGTCACGCGGTCGAGCTGTGAACAGGGAGAGCTCCGGCCTGCACCGCCTCTGGGACTCGCCCGCGCCGGCAGAGGCGGCGGCGACACCCGCGCCGCCGGCCGCCGACTGCCCGGACTCCGCCGGAATCCCGAGGACGGCGTCGGCGCCGCAGACGCCGGACCGGGCGTCGACCCGGCCGGCGGCGGAGGCGGTCTCCCGCCACTCCAGATCGCAGTCTCAGCCGGTTCGCTTCAACTGGTCGAGCGTCGCCTAGATGCGCCGTCACCCCTCCCCCGTTCCCACACACACACACTTCCGAGGCACTCCCGAGACACTCCCGAGACACTTCCGAGACGCCTCACGGCCTCCGCCGCCTGCACGAGCCCCAAGCGGGGGGGGGGGGGGGCTCACGCGGCCGTCGGCCTCTGCCACGCAGGCGCACCCCCGGCGGGGAGGGCACGGGGGGCGTGCGCTCGGGGCAACGGCGAGCCTCGGGCGATCAGAAGCCAGCGGGCGGCCGCGCCGACAGCCCGCAGCGCGCGAGCGAGGCGCCGACAGCGTCGAGGCGCGTCGCGGTGGCGGTCGTCCCCAAAGCGGCGGCGGCGGCGGCTCCCAAAAAGGAGGCGCGCTCCGCGCCCAAGCGGTGGCCTTGGGGCAGCGGCCGGCTGGAGCCGGCGGCGCCGTCGCGGACGGGATCGGCGACGGCGAGCCAGGTGACGCCAGCAGAGTGGGCCCGGCGCGTGGCTGGCGAGTTGCACGCCGCGTTCGTCGCGATCTACTCGCTGACGGTCGAGCTGC